CAATACATCAAGCCCTGATTTCTAGCATTTGCCAATTTCTGAATTGTAAATGCTCAGACTGAAAATTTAATAATCAGTTCTATAAATGCCAATCAGAGCTGGCTACAGCATAGCCCTGGATGTTTCTTGGCTTATAGCTTAAACTTCCTGTCTACCCCATTAGAATGTGAGATCCTTGACAATAGCTATTGTCTTGCTTTTCCATTTGTATCTCCAGTGCTTTGCACAAAGTTTTGCATGGAGTAAGTGCTCTAATACTTTTTCATTGATTGATTCAATCCATTATGTATTCAATTAATGTAATTTTTTTTGTATTTTGTTTTGTTATTATTCTTAGAACAATTCATATATGTATTTTCCCCCTAAACTAGGCTGGAAATTCCTTTTGAGAGCAAAAAGTATTGCTTATCTATCATTGTCATGAATAGCTATCACACTAATGAAATAAATATTTAAGCACAGACATTGCTTAAGAGTGTTAGACAGAAAACTAGTTGTGAAGCAAAGGTTTTCTGTTTTCTGAAGATCCTCTATGTCACAATAGTAGGAGGAAGGCAAAGTTGCTTTTTTTCTAGTAGCTATTTCTATCACTTCCTTGCCTTCTCTTACCCCAGAGGGGTAAACAGAATATTAGGCTTTTTATGAATAAAGTTGAAAAATAAAGGGGAAAGCAGCAAGTTCAAACTGCAAAAGTGAGATATTTTTAAAATGTTACTTTTAGGGTAACATCAGCTGACCTCCTATTTTCATTGGCTGATTAACACATTAAAAACCCTTGACTGTGTTACTAGGTAATAGACTTAACATTGCAGTAATCTCTTTGACGGTTTTCTTTGTTGTTTCAGTCCTGTCTGACTCTTCCAGACCTCATTTAGGGTTTTCTTGGCAAAGATACTGGAGTGGTTTGCCATTTTCATCTCCAGTTCATTTTACAGATGAGGAAACTGAGGAGAAGAGGTTAAGTGACTTATCCAGGGTCACACAGATAGTAGGTATCTGAGGCAGGTCTTCCTAACTTCAGGCCTGGCACTCTATCCATTGTGAATCTTTGAGAGTATACATTTCAAACAAAGTCAAGGAATGCCACTTTATACTGCATGTAGTTCTTGTTCTACAGATAGGTGGCATAGAGAGATGACCTTGGAATCAGGAAGCCCTGGGTTCAAGTCTTGCCACTGGTACATATTGCCTGTGTGAACCTGGGCCAGTAAGTCCCTTAACTTCTCAGTGCGCTAGGAAATTGTCTAAGGCCATAAATTGTAAAGTAGATGTTGATCTGCACCAGTGGAAAGAGTTGTCTCCAGAGAAAATCACAAGTCGGGAGCAAAAAAAAAATACATATGCACATTCACACACACATGTGTACATATGTGTATACACACTTGTATGGTTCTTAGTCAATTGAGTACTGTATCTAGAGTAAGGAAGACCTGTGCTCAAATATTTCCTTAGACACTTAACTAGCCGTGTGACCGTGAACAATAACCTTTTTATATGTTGTGTTCGTGTATAAAACCAAGGGGTTGGATTAGATGGCCTCGTGGGCCCCTTCTACTTCCAACACTATAATCCTCTGATCCTGCTACATATTAAAACCAAATAATATATACCAGCTCTCTTTTCATATGCTCGCATTTGTAATAATTGTTGATTAAATCAATACTTCATTTAAAAGTGTTTTGTCTTCTGAGAATTTCCAAAGTTGGTTTGCCTTCCTTTAGTCTCAGATTTTTCTTTTATGCTTATTAGTGGAACCCATACATAGCCTTTAGGTATGGTTAATTCTAAATTAAGAAGTATTAATTATTGGAAGTGGAGCCTATGTGTATATAGACAAAAACCCTTTGGGTGACACTCAACTTTAATGGAGTCGTAATAGCCATTCATTATTTGCATGGTTTTGTGACATCCCTCCCCAACTCAACCCCTTGTCATTTCCCTAGGCTAGAGAATAGCAGTTTCAATTTGTTCTATTCAGTTAAACTCTCATTTTACTTCTTTTCAGTCCTTAGCAAGTGTATATACATC